TTGACTCAGCTCCAATCGTTGCGGCCACTTGGGGAGTGAACCATTGAATGGAAGATCTTCCCTTCTCTGTCTCCTCTCTGTATATCTAGCTTTCCAATATAAAATAAATAAATCTTTAAAAAAATGGAAATTTACAATGCCATGAAGTTAAATAATATGCTACTGAATGATTGATGTAAAATGCAGAAATGACAAAGGAAAATCAAGAACCTTGTTGAAGAAAATGATGTTACTGTCTGACCTATGAGTTAATGAAGAATTTAATGAGAAAAAACTGTTTTGAATTAATAAAACAAAAACACTCAAACCCATGAGATGTAGTTTCCACTGATCTTTATTGGAGAGATGTGTCTTCTCTAGGCACCAGATAGATGTTTTTTAGAAGATTAATTTTTTTATTGGAAAGTCAGATATACATAGAGGAGAAGAGACACAGAGGAATATCTTCCGTCCACTGATTCACTCCCCAGGCAGCCACAACGGCTGGAGCTGTGCCAGTCTGAAGTCAGCAGCCCAGAGCCTCTTCTGAGTCTCCCATGTGGATGCAGGAACTCAAGGCTTTGTGCCATCCTCAACTGCTTTCCCAGGCAGCAAGCAGGGTGAGATGGGAAGCAGGACCACTGGAATTAAAACTGGCGCTCGTACGTGATCCTGGCACATGCAAGGTGAGGACTTTTGCTGCTAGGCTACCAGGCTGTTTTTTAAATCCAGTTTACTGATTTATGACACTTGATTCATGGGTTTCAGCCTTTTACAGTCAGGGTTACTATAGAGTTTCCTGTGAGTGGTCAGCTGTGAGTCTGATTGCCATGTCTTATGTGTTTTTTTTTTTGTTTTTTTTTTGTTTGTTTTTTGTTTTTTTTTTATTGTTGCTTACATTATATTATGTAGTACAGTTTTATAGGCGCTGGGGATCCCCCCCACCCCTCCCATACCCCTCCCCCCATGGTGGATTCCTCCACCTTGTTGCATAACCATAGTTCAAGTTCAGTTGAGATTCATTGCTTGCAAACACATGCCTAGCATAAAGTTCCGTGTCCTATTGTTCAGATAAGTTCAGTGGCCTCTTGGGGAGACCTTCTATGGTCTGAAGATAGGTCTAACAGAGTAGTTGATTTGTTTCACATGCACATTTTAGGATGTTTTCCTTATGTTTGATTGAAAAGACCTTGATTGTCATGTGTCGTGAGGAAGATTACTTTTGTTCAACTCTGTTGGGAATTCTGTGCCCCTCCTGGATATTGTATTCCAGTTCTTTGTCCAGATTACGGGAGTTTTCATTTGATATTTCGTTGAGTAAACCTTTAACCCCAGCTTCTCTTTCTGTGCCTTCTGAAACTCCCGTAACTTGTATATTGGGCCTTTTAATAGTCTCTTAATTCTTGGATACTTTTTTTTTTAGCTTGACCCAGCTCTGTTTTCCAGGAAGTATCTTCCAATTCTGAGATTCTTTCTTCTGCTTTATTCATCCTATCATTGAGCTTTTCCACTGTAATTTAAAAAGAAAAATATTTATTTTATTTTTCTGGGAAAGTCAGATATGCAGAGGAGGATAGAGATCTTTGTCTGCTGATTCACTCCCCAAGTGGCCAGAACGGCAGCAGCCTTGCCGATCTGAGGCTAGGAGCCTGGAGACTCTTCCTGCTCTCCCACACAGGTGCAGTATCCCAAGGCTTTGGGCCATCCTTGACTGCTGTCCCAGGCCATAGGCAGGGAGCTGCATGGGAAGCAGGGCCACTGGGACAAGAACCAGCATCCATATGCAGGACAGGAAAGCAGCAGGAAAAAGGGGTAGATGCCCATTATGGCCCTGCCTACATTTCCTCAACTGTAGTATAAAAATATATTTGTTCTGAGCTGAGCTGAGCTAGGCTTTAGCCCCCACCAACCTGAGTGGGAACTGGGGCTGCGCTATGCGGGCCAGGCTATAGCACCCACTGGCAAAAGCTGAGGCAAGCTGGCCATGCCAGACTGGGCTATGGTGCCAAATCAGCACATGTGAGAACCAGTGGGGAAGGGAGAAAACCTGGTAGGGGAAATGTGGAGGGCTCCCCTGTTGGAACACCACTTGCATTGGAGAGTGTGAGTTGGGATGGGGGCAGATGGGAGCGGAAGAGCTGCAGCATCTGTGGACCTCATGTGAGCTAGATCAGTGAAGCCAGGCTGGGTTGACTGTTTCTACAGGTGCAAGCATAAATCAGAGTGGGTAAGGGTCATTTGGATTTTGTTGCAGCATCAGCTGGTAGATGCTGGCACAGGGGGCAAATTCTGTCAATTTAAACTGCAGAACCACCTGGAGAATGATCCAGGGATTGGGATCCAGGGATTGGGCCTATTAGGGAAACAGTGGGGGCCTCCCTCTTGGTTTACCACTCCCATAGGGGAGCATGAAAAGCAGGACTGGGACAGATGTGGTTGGACAGAACGGCAACCAGCAGCATGTGTGTGGGCTGGATAGCGGGGCTGGTTGGGTTGAACTAGGCTTCATTGCCCGTTGACATGTAGGAGAGCTGAATGGGATGTGGGACAGACTGGACTGGTCTGCTGTACATACTGGCAAGCATGGGAACCAGGGCAGGGGCCGGCCTGGTGGGGGATTATTGGGAATGTCCCCGACTAGGCTGCAGCTCCCGCTGGTTTGTGTGAGGGCCAAGTGTGTGCTGGGCAGAAACAGGCTGGATTGCAATACCCTTTGGTTCTTGTAGAAGACAGGGCTGGAAACTGAACTGATCCAGCAATTGCAACTACAACATATGCATAAGCTGATTGGGGCAATGCACAGTGCTGGACCTTGTATTGGCAAGCACACACGAGAATCAGGTCTGGGATCACCTCAGATGAAGTTTCTTTGGGGATCCCTCCAACTGAACTGCTGATCTCAGAATCCAAACCCTGAAGAGAAGTGCAGGTTCCATGATCTGACCATGGAGTGCAAGTGTCAAAGCTGAGCCTCCTCAGAGTCTCAGATGGAACAGTAGACAGCAAATCCAAGTGCACATGGAGGATATGGCAGTATTGGAACCTGTAGAAGACACATGGTGCCACAAGAGGACAGAAGACAGAACAAATTGATCATCTGTCCCAGGCATGAGTTTGCAGTGAAGATCTGGGCTAATGGAGACTCTAAGGTAGACTGTGTCAGCCAGTGGATTCTGGCGAGATTTCATCATGCTTGGAATGGTAATATTGTCAGCAATTCAGAACTGTTGGACTACCAAACCACTTGAGCAGGACCCTCAGAGCATGCCCCATGTTGGGGACTTGGGATGGATGGGAGGTTGAGTGGGGCTTCTTCCTTTATTCTCCCATTACTCCAGATCAAGAAAAGAAATAATGAGGAAACAATGGTCTTACCCACTTTTCTGTAGCCCTTGTCCCTTTGTGCACTAATCGACTCCATAAGTATTATCATAATAAAACAATGAAAAGGAAACAAAAAAAAATGTACTTGCTGTGCTTTTCCACTTGCTTTCAGTGCTCTTCAAAACACTTTCTTCTGGTTGAATTCTTCACTGACTCATAGATCGTACAGTAGCATCATTTTCTTCAAGGTGGTCTTTATTTTCCCTTAGTCTTTAAATAGCATGTTATTTAACTTCATGGTGTTGTTAATTTCTTTTTTCTTCCTGTTGCTGATTTTGTTTTTGTGGCTATTCATGGAAGGGGATGTATAGTAGCTGTGTAATGGAGACTGTGATATCTAGTAACATGTTATATAACTTCATGGCATTGTAAATTTCTATTTTTCTTCCTCTTGCTGAATTTTTATTGTGGTTTTCATTGAAGGGGATGTACAGTTAATGTGAAATGGAGACTATCATATGCATATGTGAGGATACAATGTAGTGTGCATCTCTACTTACAAACTAAAACTGGACTCCCAATAATACTGGTTACTATATGACAATAGGATGCTGGATTCTCTGCCCTTGTCCATGCCCACAGAAATGGAAATATGACTGTGTCTGAATAACTATACAATAGTAATGATATAGGGGAACTTGGAGGAGGGAGGGAGGAATTGGGAAGGGGATAAGGGAAATTCCTGGTGTCTAATGAATTGTATCATAAAATGATGATGATAATAATAAGAAGAAATAAAAGATTAAAAAAAGCAATAGCCTTTTGCTTATTAGGCCACCTTTTGAAAATGAGTTGTGCAGAGACGAAAATAGAAGCTTTATTAGATAGTTTTGTATGGGAAACTGTAGAATAAACCCCCATCTCTCTTCTTCTAATTCCTGACCATTCACTCAAAATTATGTTGTTTGATTTTATTTTATTATTTATTTATTTATTTTGCTCTCCTGCCTTCATGTAGGACACCTAAAGCATAATGTAGAGGACTTAGCTAATTATTGCTGTCATGCATTTCTTAGGTGGTTTGAAACATGTGTCTTTCTAATACGAGCTTCCTTTAGGAAGAATATATTAATTGAAATAGAATCTCAGTTATTCACAGGTCTGCAGGGTGTGCATGTGTGTGTGTGTGTGTGTGTGTGTGTAAAGAGAAGAGTTTTCGTGAGATATAATTCCTATGCCATACAGTTTTCATTTGGAATATGATTGCGTGGTGTTGAGCCTGCTGACAGAATTTGCAGTGTGTCTCCAATTGCTTTCCACCTAGCATCAGCTCAGTGCTTGAATGTACCTGATGATGTCTGTTTTCCCACTCAGGCTTCAGTGCTCTGTCTGTCCCTCTGACTCCTTCTGCAATCATTTGTGCCCCTTTAGGAAATGTCAGTATTTTGGATGCAGTGTGAGCAGGTGTGTGCGTTTCTTCCTGTTTCCCTGGTGTTCAGACAGCAGCAGTAGCAGGAGATGTACCATTGAGGAAATGCAGACACACACATTTTCATCAGCTGATTTTATTCTATGTCATGGGCACGATTGGGAAGAGGGCAAGGTATCTACTTCTATTGCAAGGGACAACAACCAGGAAGGGTCACTCCATCTAAGGGGATGCAAATATTTCAGGAATCATTTCCAAAGCTTCAGGCTTAAGCCACGGCAGCGAAGCCAAGCTGGTTGTTGGCACGGTCAAAGACGGTGAAGTACTGGCGGATGAAGACATCACCCAGGATCCAGAGCTCACCAGTGGAGGTGTCGAGGTCCATGCCCTCAAAGCCACTCATGCAGGCGCCATCCTCCTGGAGAAGAGAAGGGCATGGAGATGAGAGTGAGGGTTAGTGGCACTCAATGATAACCATTACAGATTCCTTGTTCTGACTGCAAGTAGCGTGCAAAGATCTTCCTTTCTTAGTGTTTGGGGCTGTGGCCCTTTGCTGGACTGGGTCAGCCTGCAACTCAGCACCTACACACAGTTTCTGGGCAGTATATGCTATTATTGGAAGCTAGTACAACTGTACTTTGAGCACCATGTCTCAAGACATGTGAGGTTTTGGGAGAGAGATTTGGAATCCTCCAAAATGCAGCCCTTCTCATTAATCTCACCATGACCATTGGCACAGTAGGTGGACATGGGGTGCTTTCCTTCTCTGGACAATGAGGCTTTGCCTTGGCCACAGGCTAAACGCCTTTGAGAAGATGACTAGGCCTGCACTGAGCAAGGACAGCACGGTGAGTAACCAATTTTGTACATGGGTTTTCAGTAAGAAGCAAGGTGTTTGCTGTGGGTCATTGGACTAAAGGTATGGTCAGACTCACCATGACCCCTTAACAATACAAAAAGTGGGATGAGCTGAGCTTCTAGTGTTAGCCTAGGACTAGAAGCTGAGAAAGTGTGCACCCTGGTGAGAAGTGATGTGTGTGACACTGAGACTCAGGGTTCAGACGACTGAGTCTGAAAGGACCATGACCTCTTTTTGTGGCAGCATGTGATGCCTCACTTTTCCCTTAAGGGCAGTTCTCATTCACACATTGCTTCTGAAGAAACTCTTTTCCTCTGTAAGCTGTGCAGGAGAGGTGTGAGTTGAATACTTGGCTTAAGCGAAGAGAACTGTGCTTCCTATTACAAGGTCGATGTGTGACCACGGTGTATATCGGCATGTCATACGATTGTCAGAGTTTTCCCTTACCTCCAGAATGTAGGCACTGGCAGGTACAGGGTACTGGACTCCATTGATGGTGAAGACAATGTTGGGCAGGGAGTACATGTATGAGCAGCTGACAACCATCTGGAAGGTGTGAATAAGAGAGTTTAGAGTGTGAGTGGTTCATTGCTTGTGCATGTTCCTCCCCATACCTGTGGCTAGAAGAGAGCAGTTGTGGTTGGACTTGCCTCTCCATCTGAGTTCTCAGAAGCTCCAATGTAGCTCTGGATGTTGGAAATGGCACTGGTGGGTCCAGCCAACAGAGAGGTGCCGGTGTCCACGATGGCCTGGCAGCCATCTGCACAAGCAATGGTCTCTCCATCCATGGTGATGCTGAGGGTGAGATGCAAGGTTGGTTCCCATGAGTCCCCGGGTTTACCCCTAAGCCGCTTATGGGGCAGAACATCTGGGATGTCAGGCTTCGACACTGGCAAAGAACTCTTGTTCTGAGTGATTTCTAATCCTAGACTGCCAGTAGCCATCTTCCTACTGAGGCAGGCTTTCTGATCCCTTCCAGACTGCCATTATCGTGAGAGGTATAGACAGGTAGGATTGCTATGCCACCGCTAGTAGGCTGTAATCTGACCATGGTTCTTGAGCCATTTGGAACTGGCTGTCCTGTTCTTAGTAAGGATCTCAGCTCCTGGAAATCCTTCTCTGTGCTTTTCTTCCCATGAGCTCAGTTTCTTGGGATTTTGCTGGCTTGTCTAGTTTGCAGATTTATCCTGTGCAGGCTGCTCCAGGCAGATCAGGGTAGCCGACCAAGTACAAGTGCATCAAGCAAAGTCATAAGGGTTCCCAGCAGGGTGTCCTGCAGCAGCATGGTCTCACCTGTCCACGGTGATCTGCCAATAGCCCTCATAGGAAACAGGCACCCAGTTCAGACTTCCGGTGTAGTAAGAAGAATCGATGCCACCAAACATGACCACGCTGCCACTCTCGTCATCGCTGTGGGAAGTGTAGGGGCGGGGAGAGAGACAGGCATTCTTTCATTCATGTGTTGCATAACTGCTGTGTACAGCCCAGGCTCCCATTGACGAGCTGCATTTGAGAGCTAGGACTGCATTGAATGTGTGACTCCCATGGGTGCCTCTCCTGTGACAGCACATCCACACAAATCGGTGCATAGGCTTTTGACTTTCCACTGCTGTCTCAGAGCAGTAAAGCCACCAGCTCAGGTTCACACAGTTGTGTAGTTGTAGCAGGGTGTGGCCTACAAATATGTGTTCCCAGGTTTATCCTTTGTATCCTAATGGTGACTGTAGTGTTGTTTGGGACCACAAGAAATGTGGAATTGGGCTGGTATGTCCCTAAGTAGTTGATGGTGGAGATGCTCTTCCTCAGCCAGAGCTTCTGTTGGCTGTGTCTGGAGATCATGTTGATTATTGTGATCAGATGGGGCTCAGATGTCACTATCATGATCCACTGGGACAGGGTCAAGAATCTACCATAGAGGTTTGGTATTTGGAATAGTTTGAACAGCAGGCAAATATCTGTCCCAGACTGTCTGTTGTGCCAATATCTAGTACTTTGTTCTAGGTGTGTTAATATAGTGGCTCACAGGCGATACTTAAGTTCTCTCATGAAAGCATGTTATGTTTCAGAGTCTCCTGAAGATTGACTAGGCAAGAGCCACCTTGATAAAAGCCCCCATAGAGGGGTTCTTTGTTACTGGCTTTTGCAATGTAGTTGTTCAAGATGTATGAGAGTGCTTCCAAAAATGCCGTAGAAATTAATACATTTGCGAAATCAATTGACGCCTAATTTGCCAGAGGACTCACTCACACGCTCTAACGAGCATATCTACTACCCCATTAACCTCAAGTTTCTGAGCGAGCTAGTGAGCGAGATCACACCAACAATCCATATACAGTACACACACACACCACACACACACTTAGTGCGCGAGAGTCTCACCACCAGAGGTGAGGGAGGGTGGGGAGGGGGCGTGAGAGCAGTTTACACACACATCAGACACACACGAGTGACAGATTAGGATCTGTCGATGGGAATCCGGCCCACCCTACATCATCGTGGATATACTGACTCCTTACAACACGGTAAATATTCGAGCGAGTGACTTACATATCTATAGAACACACAATCAGCACTCATAGTATATACCTAACTCCCTAATTTTACCATCACCTATCGATAACGGGCGCGTGTGCGTGCCGAGTCGAGTGAGGTGGTTATATCACCACATCATCATGATACACAATCGCCGAGTGAGCGGAAGAGCGCGATCTTTTGTAGAGTTGGTAGAAACAGGGGGAAGTGGTATGGTTGAAGGAAACATCGAAAAATAAGCAACGTACAATTTGCGCGAGAGCGCACACACATTGAGTCTCGGGAATATACGTGATAGTATGTGTTATCGCACCGTTGTTATTCACACAACAATACACGAAAGGGAATTGAATTGATGTGTCTGGAAAACACACATCAACAAAATACATACTGCAAGAATAGAGTCGTCAGGTTGATGGGGGTGGGATGGGGGTTAAGGAGGGAGGGATAGGTGTTTATGGAGGTGGGTTTGTTTGATTATTGAAATGTGATTTTGAGTTTGTTGTGCTTTTGATTGAATTTTGTGTGGTGGTTGGTGGATAGTGTGTAGTTCTTAAGTGGGATGGGAATTTTATGAAATGTTGTGAGGTGGTATGATTGGGTAGGGTTTTGTAGATTTAGTTGATTAGATTAGGATAAAGGAGAGTGTTAATATTTGATTGGATTGGTGATTTGGGAATGGGGTGTTGAAAAGGATAGAAGTATGTAGTGAGAAGTTTAAGTGTTGAGGAATGTATAATTTAAATATGAATAATGTGGGATTAGTAAGGGTGGCTCGAGGGCTAAATGCTGGGAGGCCAACCAAGGATGCCATCTAAGGGAGCATAGTAGAGGAAGGAGCCGGGCTCAGACTCGCTCAGGCCAAAGATCTGGTTGGTATCTTCAATGCCTCCAACCTGTGTAAGGAGGAAAGGGTGACAGAGATAATGTCCTCCATGAGCACATGCTCCTGGGAGTACTAGTGGACACCAGCCCTGAACCCAGAACTATGATGCTAAATTTCTTAGAGAACTCCCATTCCAGGGCAACAGAGTGTAAGACCTGGAGAGGGCCTGTCTCCTGGAATGCTTGTGACCTTCTACTGGATAGGATCTTGGTGACTGATGTCTCAGAGGCCACAGGTTGCAACTCGTTGTGAGAGGCTGACATAGAATGCCCAGTCAAGGTGCACTTAGATTTTGGTTGGTCACCCTGCTGCATGTTCGGGCCAAGGAGAGCTACCATAGGCTCAGGAGTGTGTATGGCTCATGTGACTGGAACAGGAGGGAGGGGGGGAGGAGATACTACAAGACAATTAAGGAATTGTGTCCCATTTCTCTACATTCCCTTTGAAATTTAGCACTTTGATTGGCTGAGCCCTCCAGGAACCATCCCTATGCATATTAGGCTCAGTTGATGAGTGTATGTGACAGCTCTGCCACATCACTCCCTGTGCCAGGCATCTGGTTGCCTGGATGGTCTCCAAGACAATACTTCTCTCTGGGGGCCATTGAGTGTGGTCACCAAGTCCCTGGAGGCTCCATGGCTGGCAGTGTAAGGAGGCAGAGCCCCCAGGTGCTCACATTCACAGTGTCGTATCCCAGGATGCCAGTCATGCTGCCAGTGCCATAGGTGATGGAGATTGTCTCGCTAGTGGCCTCGAAGGTGGAGGAGTCATCTGGGTTGAACTGGTTATGCACGCCTGCAAAGGCAAGGAGTGTCATCAGGAACCTCAAATGGCAACAAGACTCGTGCGTTTCTGGAATGGATTTCTTGTGTTGGTTGAGACTATGGAAGAGAAAGTTGAGCTTTGCCTAAGATGACCTGTAAGATGACCTTTGAATGCCAAGAGTCCCCAGGTTCTAACCCCTTCTCCTTGGCAGTCAGTATTGTGCCACTGTTTAAGGTTCATTGCTGAACTCCAGTCCTTCCAAGGGCCCCAAGCAAGCACTGAGTGTATCAGCCTTGCTATCCATATTGCTTGGGCTTCCTTCTGAGCTTAGGCTCCAGTGTGGCTGACCCCCTGGAGCCCTCAGCAGAACTTTGTATTAGACCCAATAGGGCTCCTCATCCATGAGTCCCTATGACCACTTCCAATCACCCCTCTCCACAGGAGCACCTATTTCCCCTTGCTTTCTGAAGTGAATGTGTTGGGGGAATGGTAGACACTCACTGCAGGCAGCACTGGAGCAGTAGGTGGAGGGCACCCAGAGGTTGGAGGAGCCAGTGTCAAAGATGACGGTGAAGTCCTGAGCGGGGGTTCCAATGCTGATGGTGCCAAAGTATTCGGTCTGCAGGAACCAGGATGACACAGCTCAAAGACTGGGAGTGTTCCATGTCGAAACTCACATAGTGACCACTTCTCATCCTAGTCTTTTTCTTATGGGGAAGACCCTCCATCTCATCTCCACATCTTAGCACACTCCTTCAAAGTCCAGCCCTGGTCTCTTCTGCTCCTTGAAGTCTTAGTTTGTTTTGTCTTCTGTTATAAGCTGCATTCATCTCACATGCTTTCTAAATTTGTTGTACTCTCTGGAACATAAGCCTCTAGTCTTTGGTTGGCTCCATGTACTGTCACTTAATAGATCTTTAAAAATATAGGTTCATAAAAAAATAAATGTTCAGTGATTAAATAGGCTTATGTTTCTGAGCTCTCCTAGGTGCCAGCTCTGCCTGTGCTGAACAATGTGCTGAACAGGATCCCTGCAGTTCCTGACTTGCAGTCACCTATGGATTGTGGCTCTGAGTGGCTCTGTTCTTTGTAACAGAACAGTAAGGCTCACAGAATGTGAATGCGTTTTTGAAGTTCAGCAGGCCTGGACCCTGAACATTTGTGCAATGGGTCTGGTGGATCTCAGAGGCCTAGCCCTTGAGCACAGGGAAAGGGGCTTAGTGCCCTCAGCCTTGCCCTATTCTCCAAGATTCACAAGGGTTGTATTGCTGGGCTGATCATGCCACTGGTCCCCATAAATAAGAGGCAAAAAGCTTTTGAGAGTTAAGTCTGATCATGTGAGCCCAGTGACTCAGAGACATCTATTGCAGTTAGGATCCAGTTCATTTCAGTTCATGGCCTTTCTATTATCTGCCCTCCCAGCCACGGTCCCTCGGGCTCAATAGCACAACCACCCTTCCCTCCATTTTTGTCTCACACTGCTCTACTCCTTTCTCAACTATGCTGGGCTCCTTCTGGCCACAGGTTGAGCATGAGCCCTCATCCTCTGGAATTCCCTCCATTCTCTTTGGAATCCCAGTTGCTCCTACATTGCTACAGGTCGCCTTGCAACTCCTCCAGGAACCACTCACTGAGACAGTGGACTCTCAGTTAATGGCCTCAAGCCTGTCATTGTTCTCACTGGCTGGTAAGGCTAAATCAAGATCATCTTTCTTTCTCTTGGGAACTGTGGTTTTATTCAGTCTATCCAACATAATGCCTGACTGAATACATAAGGGAATACTTAGAATAAAAAAGCATTGAAATAAGAAACAGATAAAAGCACAACACATGAGAGGGCAAATGGTGATTGTGGTTCCCTCAGCTATGGGCTTCTGAGATCCAAGCTGTGATCTCTGGCTGTCAGCCACATTCCCCAACACCATGTCTCCTGCTAGCTCAGTCCTTGTGATTCCCCCTTCAAGCTGCTCAAGCACTCACATCCAGGTAGTTCTCCAGACTCTCGGTAGAACCAGAGGCAAAGACATCTTTAGGGAAGTACTTGGAGGCCCGGTTGAGAGTGTGAGTCTTCAGGTAGTCCTTCAGCAAGCCCTTCTCAATCAGATTCTTCCTCAAGGACTTCTTTTTGACCAGGGGTACCCTGGGAGAGAATGGTGGCACATGCATGGTTAGGAGAGATGGAATAGTTGGTAAAGGCTCCAGGTTGAGATTGAAAGAAAAGACAACTTGTTCATGAGTGAAAGAAGGTGTTGCAGAGATGTTCCCATCAGTAAGTCAAAATGCACAGAGGGATGTGTGGAGTCATCTAGCGATGGGGCTGACCCAAAACTCTGGTAGATCTCATAGCTTGGTCTGTAAACCATGTCTGTAATGTGGTCAGAGACGTGAATTGGAAAAAGGGACTGTGAAGGAAGACTCCATATGGGGAAAAGGTGGAAAGAATTGGAGGAAGGAAATAGGTGTTACATGGAGCTGGACACGAGAGTAGAAGCTGGAAAATCCCCCTTGGAGCCACTCTTCCCTTTGGCAAAAGCCAGACTCACTTGTGCACGATGCACTCAGAGAGTGCCAGCAGACTGAGCAGCAGCAGCCACTTCATGGTTCTTGCTGACTCCCAGGTCAGTGGGGAAAGCAGGACAAGTGGAAGGTGTCTAGCAACAGGTAAGAGCCGCTGTTTAAATAGCGGCCCCTTGCTGACTCTAATAACCCTTATCGGTGTGTAAAGTCCACCTGCTATCACACTTACCAGAAAATGTTCTGATAAGCTGACCTGTGCCCCGAGTCATGTTCTGAGATATTGCCTATTCAGAATCGTACAGCTGGAAGTCTGTTCCAAAACAAGATACCATTGAGTGTTGGGTTTGTCTTATGGAATGAGAATGGGCTGTGTACAACTTTCCGATTTACTCAAATGTGAAAATTGATGACGAGAGCACAGAGTGCAACACTGACATGATGCTGGAGGATTAATGGCATTCTAAGAACAGATGTGCTACTTAAAGGGGCAGCGTTGCTGAATATTCAACCAAAGTTCTTGTGGGCAGTGTGTGATTTGGGGATGAAAACACACTTTCCTATGCAGATCACTTCCATTATGTGTGAGATTATGGTATCTATGTATATGTGTGTATGTGGAAATATTTATTTATTTACTTAAAGATTTATTGATTTTTATTGCAAAGTCAGATATACAGAGGGAGGCAAGACAGACAGAAGGATCTTCTGTCCAATGATTAACAGCCCAAGTGACAGCAATATCCGAACTGTGCCGATCTGAAGCAGGGAGCAAGATGCTCTTCCTGGTCCCCCATGCAGGTGCAGGGTCCCAAGGTTTTGTTTGGTTGTTCTCAACTATTTTATCAGGCCACAAGGATGGAGCTGGATGGGGAAGCGGGAACTCCAGGATTAGAACCGGTGACCATATGGGGTCCTTGTGTGTTCAAGCTGAGGACTTTAGCCACTAGGCCAACAAGCTGGGCCCAACATTTACTTTCTAAGCTTGGTTCCTGGCTCATCCTTCCTTTTATGAGGCACAGATTTAGAATTTTTTTCTCTGGAGTTTGATAGAACTCATCCCCATGCCTTTTGTGAGCCCTGTGATTTTCCCATAGTGGACTGTAAGATCCTCCTTACCTCAGAGGGCTTCTGCAGCAACCACAGGAAGAAGACCCTTGGAAAAATCAAAGCTGGAACCTCAGCCATGTAAGGGCAATCATGCCGATGAAGTTCCCAGAACCTCCCTACAGGTGCTGTCTGCTGGGCTTCTTGAGAGCAGACCCTCTGGTTTCTGGGAGTATAAACAGGAAGTTGTTTATATGCTTGGAGAGGGCTCCCTGGTTGGCACAATGGAGGAGATGGCCTGAAACCCTTCCAGCCCTTGCCATTGCATCTTCTCATCTTGCCATCTCTTTCCATCTTTTGAAAAGTGCTGTAAAGTGTATTTCCCTGAGTCTCATGATCCACTAAGTAGATTTAGCACACTAAAGCATGGGGTGTGAGAATGCAAATGTGTAGCCTATTAGTCTTGCCTATGGCTCTATATTGAGCCAAGGCTGGGGATGAGTCCTGCTTCCGGGCTGCTGTGATCTCCTTGGGTAGATATGTTTGAACTGAATTTGGCTAAATGGGCTGTTGCTTAGTTGGTGTTGATTCTACAGAATTGGTAGTTGGGAGTGTGCAGAATTTCCCTACACCTCATGCACCAGCTGTGAGCTGTGTAGGGAGGGATGTGTAGAAAAAACCAAGAATGATTTCTTACATGCTCTGTGCTGATGTTTTCTCCACAGGTTAGGAAATGTCCCTGACTCAAGAGGCCATGTGGTTGGGGAGAGAAAGTGTCAGAACATAGGCTGAAGTCAGTAGATATTGTGATTGGCCTCATGGTTATCTCTGGTGTGTCAGCCTTCCACAGGGCCATGGTTTAAACAACACTGAACCAGGGATCCAAGGGAACTGACCCGATATAGACCACTAAAGGAAGTTTGCTGCATGAACCCAGTTGGGGTAGCTGAAGGCATCTGACGAGGTAGACTAGAATGAATTGAATGGCATGGCATTGTATTGCACAGCTGTCTGCTTATGTATTAGGGCAAAGGTATGCCAAAATATCAGGTTTGTGATGGCTCTCCATGAAGGTGGAGACGTGCATGAAAGTAGAAGATGGAACATGAATGTGCATATGCTATGCAACATGCGTCATTCAGACAGACTTCAGGTGAAGACATTGTGTTTCGTTTACCCTCAAGCAGAGGGAGCAGGCATGACATCTGGCTGGACAACAAAACCATCCTTTACTCATTGTTGTAGAGCAGCACCTGGTGGTAGTGTCCTACTGGAGGCTGCTGTTTGGAAAGTGATGATGGCTGGCATAAATTTATTTGAAAAATGGGGCATGCTGCCTGGGGATGAGTTTTGTGCGTCTCCTCCAGCTGTGTTAGGGAAAGACATTGAGTCTGACTTTGGGATGTTCCTCTATAGTATGCTGTAGAACAGACTTTAGTACAATCTTCTCTTCAGGTGAATTCACCTGGATATGTGCCCTGGGATCGTAGGACTTCCCTGGAGTCCTCAGAGGGTGCAATACATGCTATAGCCCCTGGTGGGACATCATTTAATTGTGGTGGTAATCTCATGTTCAGCCTAGACTATGGCTTAGGACACCATGTTGAGGACCCCTGTCTGTAGCCTGTGGTGGGTCCTTGATGAAATCTGCCAGTGTGATCGACTGTGCCTGTGTGTGAGGGATTTGAAATGATCTTGACTCTAAAATTCCTCTTGTGTCTGAGATGTCAGTAAAAGGAATGGAGACGAAGGTCCCAGTTACTGCAAATGGTTTTGTCCAGGGTCAGGTTATTCCAGGAGTTCAAAAATGCGAGAGAAGCAGGGAGTTTGTTTCCCTATAGCTGGCTGTGGGACTGTTTAGAATTCACTGGACAATCTTTTGCCTCCAGGAGATGCAATGGGAGGAATAGGGAAGTCTCTTGCCTTGACCCCTTGGTGGTCGTTTGGCTAACAGTGAAGGCAGCTGTTGGAATGTGAAGGATAGTTAATTCTTTGCACCTGAAAGATTTGAGACCCAGAGGAAGTTGGATGTGCTTAGGGACAGAGTTGAGGGAGCAGGGCAGACTATCTCTAGCATGGTGCTGCTGTGATTAGGATGTTAGTTTGCATGTGACAAGTCCTACCATAGGCGCATGGGTTAAAGGGTCAGTCCCCAGGGTGCTGCAGTTGAGAGTGTTGAGGCTTACTGGGATGTCCTTGTAGTCCTGGGTTCACACTCAGGGGAGGACATTCTCATGTCCTTGTTGTTGTGGGCTTGAGTCTGGAGCCTGGAATCTGACTCTCTGAGTGTTTTCGTCATGTGTATATTTTCCATTTATCTCTCTTATGCTCCACTGATCTCACCAGAAAACAGTCCTGTGCACTGGCATTTGGATTTTCATATATCACACGTGAGGTAAGTAAATATCTTTTCCTCAAAAGTGGATTGAAATGTTCTTTAAGACCCAACTGCTTTCTAATAGAGCCCCTTGTTGTAGTTGAGCATGAATATTCATGCATCTGTTTAAATCACTTAGTTTGATATGGATAGGGCCTGGAATTTACATTTTAAAAAATTATTTTATTTTGGTAATCATTATATAGTTGATAAGGGCCCAAAAGGGTCAAGGGCTACAGGAAAGTGGGTAAGACCATTGTTTCCACATTAATATTATTTTTTTATTCTGTATCCATTATAAGGGAAGAGATAAAGGGCAAAACTCTACCCAGCCTCTCACTCAACACCGGTTCCCGCCATGGAGCGTGCTGAGGGTCTTGCTCATGCAGTTTTAATGGTTTTGATGGTTTGAGGATGATGTCAGGAAATGTATGGTGGTGGGTACCTTTCCCTGCGCTGGTCTGGGCTACTCCCTATCATGGTTCTTGCACTCACAAGCAGGGTCTGTGTCCTGCCAGAGGAGCTACCCAGGCTCCTCCATCAGAACCTCTCCCAAGGCCAGATCTCTTGTATACCGGTGGGTCCATGAGCCATCGCTACTTAGTCCACCTCCTGTGCTAGCAGGGACTATTGCCTGGCTTTCAACCCATTCCAGTTCTTGCTGTTGCCTGTTTCATCCCAGCCAAGGTTCCTGCTTATCTAGACACAGCTCACTGTTTGCTCAGTAGGGGCAGAGACCTATCCTAGTCCATCCTACTTCTACCTGGGTCCTCCAGAGCACCAGATAGTGCTGGAGTCTAGCCGGTTATGTGTACCCACTCCTAGTTCACATTTGTGCCAAGGGATATGGCTGGCATATCCATATTGCTATGCATCCCCCACTCCAGCCCCCATACTCACCAGTCAGAACCTGAACCCAGCCAGGATATTCTCTTAGCTCCCCAACCGAGCCTGTTCCCAGCCTTAAATCATGTGTATGTTAGTAATTGTTCTGACCCAGCTTGGGAGAGCCCCTCACTTGTCTTGGCCTTTGCCTTTGATGCTGTGTCTTGGCCTCCCTGACTCAAGTAGACCAGCCAGTGAAGGAGCCTAGCTTAGCATGACCTATGTTCCATCCTGATTTCTGTTCTTGCTTGTGAGTTAAGGTTTGCTTGACCCTGCCTGGTCCACCCCGTTCCAGTTGCAGTTTGGCCCACCCCACATCCTGTTTTAGGATGCACATTTGGGTGCTGCTGCCTTGACCTGCCCAGACGGTTGTTGGTTCCTTTACCTGTAAGTGAAGGCAGGTTCCATGGTCCCACCTAGCTCAGCCCATCACCACCCCAACTCGTGAGCTAAGCAGCAGGACTTGTATCTCCATAGGGTTGGGCTCATACTTCCCTCAGAGAATCTACCCCTGGATCTGGTTCTTTTGTATGTTAGTTAGTGTCTTGATCCTGCCAAGTGTGACCCATTCCCCATTCCACCATCAGTCCTTTACTGGTACCTAGCCCTGCAGACAGGCCCCCTGCCATAGGTTTCATGTGGATTGGTGTGTGGCAGTCAGTGATGCTCTACACTAGCAGTGTATTTCAGGATTCCCATGTGGCTTGATGAATCAGTGTGGCCCAAATAGAACCTATGGACTCTCCCTTCCAAACACTCAGATTCCAGTCCCCATG